CGATGGGGGTGCCATTGGCAGCGAGCAGGTCATAAGAGGGTTGGTTTGACTTGTCTTGTAGTGAAGGAGGGATGATGCTGACCGATGAACCTGTGTAGATGAGGAACTTCTTGCCGGAGGTGCGGTCAGTGACGTGCAGTAATGAGACGCCTGAATGGACGGGGGCTGAGGCGTCTACCAGCCTCCGGTGTTGCAGTTTCCCGAGTAGGTGCAGTGGGGCTCACAGTTTTGAGCATTGTGGCCGAAAGTCCGGTGATACCAGCAGAGGGTATATTTGTTGTGCTGGGGGCTGGCTGCTGTGCGTCGAGACTTGTAGGGCGTGGTGCGTGAGTCAGGAACTGGCACAGCAGCAGGTATGGAGGAGCAGAACTGCTCAATGGTGTCCATCCTGCAGTTCAAAGTTTGCAACAGGTCCCTGATGTCTTGTGAGGTATTGCTCGGCTGAGGGGTGTTGACCCGGCTTACAAGTTCGGTGGTAGGTACTGGTGTGACCGTGGGGTTGTCCGTGGCGGCAAGGCGCTCAGCAGCACACTCGTTGAAAATTCTGTCTGCCGCGGTTGCATACAGTTCTGGTGCCGTAGAGTAATCTACTGCGGACAGGATGTTGCGTACTTGTGTGGGTAGCTTTTGTGTGTGAAGCTGGCGCAGGATAGAGTCAGGAAGTCTGTCTGTGTGCCGGGAGTTCAACCTGCACATCTCCTCCCAGAGAAATCCCGGAGTTGAGTTTCCAAGGGAGATAGAAGATAGGTTCTGTCGGAGACTGGGGCGGGTCTGTTGGTAATGCGTTTTTAAGGCATCCCGCAGAGTGGCGAATTTGTTGTTCGCTGGAGGGTTGAAGGTGGTCTGTGAGACTTGTGTGGCGACTTCAGTGGGCAAGGAACAGAGCAGGGCGCCGTACTTTTGCTCGTCTGTAGCTGTAGAGCCGATGAGGGTTGCTTCCACATGAACTAACCAGTCCTCTACGTTGTGGTTGAAGGTCGGTAGAGAGATCCGTCCGTCCATTCTTGCGGGAGTATGTCACACCTGTTAGGGAAGGATGAGGGATGGGCGCTTGTTCCGACCCCCTTCCGTGTTCACAATCTCCTGGGAGGGAGGTGAACAGTTGCAGGGGGGACTTCGGGACGAATACACTTTTTAGGGTGCAGGTTCTTAGGCCAGAACTAAAAAAACAAAAGAAAAATAGGAGAATAGGCAAAAGAGCTCAAACCACGTTTGGAATATCGCACAACAGTTGCTCTCCAGCTGTGATGTGGGTCACTCACACCGCCAGTGGGGAGAACAGACTAATGCGTTATAAACCTTACGGTCGTGAGATGGTGTCGTTGTGGAGTAGTGGGGTAGCGAGTGGTGCAGGTAAGGCGGTTGGCCTAGGCTGGCAGCAGGCAGGACGATCTTCTCAGCTCCAGGAGTAAGGCAGCAGAAAGGAGTGTGGTATTCACGGCTCCAGGGGTCACCAATTGTAGCGTTCTGTATGTGGCCAGTTGTCAATTCTCTTAGTATGGGCACACAAACGTACGTACATGTAGATATCTCACACTCAGGAATGAGGTAGGATAAACTCACAATGCGCTTTCTGTATATATATTGTTGTACAGCGCAGTGCTTAGGAGTGACTAGGTGAGGAGAAACTTGCTCGAGGTCCTGTAGGGTGAGGAGGTTTCTGAGGAAGCTGGGTGGTGAGGAGCTGTGAGAGATGTTGCTGGTCCGGTAGCCGAGTGTAGAATGGTCTCCCTGGCCAGGCATGGCCGTATTTATACAATTTACGAGGGCCAATCACAGCGGCTTAAGCGTAAGGTGTGAAACGCTCTGATCCTGAGCTGGAGGTTGAAGGTCGAGACTAGGTCGGCGATCGTACCCCTACGTCTACTGCATAGACCTAGTCTCTCGGCGTAGCTGGCTGTACGCTGATTGGCTGGTAGGCGCGCGGCCGGAGCTCAGTTGGGAGTTGTAGAGGTGAGGAGCCACTACAATGCTTCTTGTGTTGGCTTCATTGCCCCACATTTAAAAAATAGTTAAAGAATCAAATTGGTGTAAAATTAAGTTAAAGGGGAGAGACTTAGTTATTGCCGGGTGTATCTACAGATCCTCAAACTGTAGCTTATTAAACCAAAGGAACTTAAGAGCCTTAATAGAAAATGCAATGGTGCTCAACACAAGCCACCTCATTGTCATGGGAATTTTTAACTTTGGCTACAATTTTTGAAGAAACTCTGAGCCATTTTTCTGTTCCAACATGCTAAAGACCCCAACTCATTATGGTGGGGAGCAAACACCCAAGCCTCTGGACCTCATCATAACACTCAGCCCCGTCGGCATCAGTCACCTTGTAACGTTGTCCTTCAGACTTAACTGTTACTTGGTTCATGATAAAACAAGGCCAAGGTTCAAATATTACAACAGAATGTGGGAGGAGATGAGGGGTATCCACTGGCCTGACTCAAGGTATAAGAATGCAGACACTACACTAAATACCATAGTCAGTAGAATGAACTGTTTGATCAATAAATATATGTCCAAGACCAAATCCAGTGCCTCCAGGAATACAAGGAGACCACTACACGTGAACCACGTGGCGGTCGACAAAGATGTACAGTATGTCAGATCCAGGAACCAAGCAGTCAGAGTGTAGAAGGGCTGAAAAAAAAAAGAGTGTTCCAGAGGCGGATTGCGAGTGAGGTCAAGTCAAACCAAAAAGCATTTTACCGCTACGCAAAGTTGAAATTAAAACCACAAGTAGGCATTTCGGACCTGAGGCTTGAAGATGGTCGTTACACTGATTCTGATCAGAACAAGCAGAGGCATTGAACGGTTTCTTTTCCTCAGTGTTCACAAGAGAGGATGTGAACAATCTTCCTGCATTTGAAGATAGATGGTTTGACAAGGCGCTGACCCACATTATGTTCTCAGAAAAGGTTATAAGGAATAAATTGTCAAAGTTACCGATTCATAAGAGTCCCAGCCCTGACATGGTGCATCCCAGAGTGCTAAGAGAGTTGTGCACCGAGCTTGCCGAGCCCATGAATCCTGTTCTGTAGATACCTGGATGAGCAAAAGGTTCCTAGTGATTGGAAAATGGCTATGTGAGTCCCATATTCAAGAAAGGTGATCATCACTCCATAGACCAGTGAACCAGACCAGCATAGTGTGTAAAGTGCTTGAGAGCATTATAAGAGATGCCATGATGGAACATCTACTACGAAACAACCTTGTAAAGGATTGCCAACACGGTTTTATACCGGGACGGTCCTACTTGACACAATTACTCAAGGTACTGGATGTTTGGACCCAAATTCTGGAACAGGGCAGCAATATTGACAATACGTATATACCTAGATTTTGCCAAGGCTTTTGATGGCATAATCCATGAAAGGTTGAGAATTAAACTGGAAGGGTACGGGATTCAGGGAAGTGTCCTAGCGTGGATTGGAGACTTTCTACGTGACCGTAAGCAGTGAGTGGTGATTAATGGCGCGAAATGGTCATGTGTACCCGTGACAAGCGGGGTACCACAGGGCAGTGTATTGGGCCAACTGTTGTTTGCTTGCTGCATAAATGACATGCCAGAAGCTATACACTCTTCCATACAAATGTTTGCAGACAATACCAAGTTATTCATGGAAATTAAGAACCAAACAGAATGTGAAGAGCTGCAGAAAAATCTCTGAGCTTCAAGAATGGTCCCTGAGATATGCTAGGGACTGTCAATTGATTGAAAATGTCCAAAGGAGGGCCACCAGACTGGTGCCTACACTTCGGCACCTCGGCTATCCAGACAGATTAAAGCGCCTGCAACTGCCTAGCTTATACTTCAGACGGGAAAGAGGTGACCTAATTGAGGTGTATAAACATCTCAAGGGGCACTACCTAGTAAAGTGTCTATACCTGGAGCTGGTGAACGCCCATCCCACAAGGGGTCAAAGCTCAAGGTTGAAGAAGCAACAAGTCCAAAAAAATGGAAAAAATTTAGCAAATCGAGTGTGAAAAACAATATATATGTTGTGTTGTCAAAGAACTAGAAACAATTGAGACCCTGCAATTGTATGTAAATGAGGCAGAAAGTCAGATGAGCAACCTGGGATTTGGTCACAATTTTCGTGATGCCGTATGGCAGCAAAGTCTACCATTAGACAACACATTATGCTTCCAATATCTTCCCAGGTTGGTAGTACCTCTCTGATAGCTGCCTACTAACCACCATAACTTTTATTTTAGGATTTATTTCCAATTTAGAAACAATCATTACATTAGTCTTTACAGCATTAATTCTTAAACCACATTTTTCACCTTTTCCACTAATCTGTGCACGAGTTTTTGTAATGCCTCTTCACTATCTGTGATAAAAGCATCATCTGCATAGTGCATATTTTATATTTTACCATTAGCTTTTAGTCCTTTATTATCACTTAAAACTCCTTCTGAGCAGTCATAACTTTGTGCAACCATACTTCATCAAATATGGTCATGCCTATGGGCCAATTTTGCTTTGAGTATTAAGTCACAGCAAAAAAGGCAGTGTGTTTAGATATTCCAGAAACAAACATTTTTTAAGGTTATCTTAGGCCACCCAGTTATTACATCAGCAATGGAATTCAATATTTACAAAAAACCCCAAAAAGCAGTGGTGAAAGTGCATGACTGGAAGTCATGACTGTATGTGATTTATGAGGATGAACGTGGTGCCGATAACAGATAATGAGATACTGTACTTGGTTGTATTATCGTATATGACCGAGGTCAACTATATCACATAACATGCTACAGCAGCTAGAATAAAGTCATGAATGACAAACAATAAAGTCTTGTGTTGTTCTTGATTCTGACCACCCAGTGCCAAAGTAGTAATGGGTTCACGTGAAAAATAAAACAGAATTACAGTATATGAAGCATCTGACATTAATAATCATGTAGTTCTACTAAATGCAAAAGGAGTCTTCCACTTCATAGTAACAGCAATTTAATTGCTGTAATTTTTTTTTATAATGAATAGAATAAACATCACATACAAATTATTATTTATTCAAGATCTGAACACTTCACTGAGAATGACTCACAGATTCACACACAGTCACACCAGACCACCTAACAATATGCGAGCTTATATAAGTCATGTGAAATAATGCATTATACAACATAGCTCATTCTAATTATTTTGAAAAACTTCTGTCAACCTACAAAATGTACTTAAAGACTTTCAGTGATAAACTAATGTGCAAAAGGTTAATCTTCAAAAACTCGTGCAACTTTTAGTCGTTTTGACCGATCTGATTCCACTCTACAAGGAATCGGTTGAAATCCCAAAGATATCATGTGAGGCACATTATATAAGGAGACTGCTTGTTTCCTTCAACCCAAGCTTTCAGCACCATAAAACAATTTAAAACACCTTGCTTCAATACAAATGCTGAATTAATGATTCAACTTGTGTAACATGACAGAGCTTTGTATGAATAACTAAATTCTAGCAAGGCTGTTAACTATAGTACTCTTATCACGCTATCTCGTTGAGGTACATTATATGACGATACATAGATCAAAAGATTTTGCATTTTCCATCAAGCAAAGTATAAGACCTAACATTACTGATGAGTATGCCTGTCCTATGGTGTACAGAAAACATCAATATTTTGTGGAGGGCTTTATCAGGATTTTTCATAAACCCTGTTTAATAAAATATATTTTATTTTTCATTTCCATGTCAAAGATAAACCCACAGTAATTCCAATAAACTTTATAGTTCAAAAGCAAAGCAAAGCTTCCTGTACAAAATGAAATGTCACACAACACCTGCATACCACTTTACTTTCCATATGAAAAATCTTAATAGCTATTCCTTCATATTTTACCAAATCTGAATATTTTGTGTGCTTCTATAGAGCCATAAAGAGGTGTTGCAATTAGACAGCATTAATTCCTAAATATCCTATTACCTAAAACTTCTGGAATACGTGTGCTCATTTTGACACTGTTCACTTGCAATTACATACCTAGATAAAGAAAAGTAAACACATAAAACAGAAAACAAGAAACAAAAATGTACATCCAACTTCTGTTTAACTTAAACTTGCAATACAGTAACTGTACAATAGCATACAGTATACAGCTAATGGTATTACAAAACACTGTCAGTCAGTACAGCACATCCAATATATCACATGAAACACACTGTAAAAGACAAATGATCTTTCCAACAAACTTTCATGCACCACTTACACAAGTGATCACTTTGCATCACAAGGCAATGAATATTTACCTGTTTCCCTTTTATGAAAGTTACACGCAGAAAATTTCTAAATAGCCACAGTAATCACAATTCATTTACACTGATGCAAGTGTTACAGAAGTAAGGATGCAACAGTTTGGGTATTCCTATCCACACTCACATTATTTTACAAAAGCTTTACCTTAAAATTTATGTGAATTGAGAATCTTGTGCCGAGTTATAATGATATTTAAGAAACGATAATTGTAATCCGAGGGTCAATGTTTCAGTCCTTGACAAAATCAAGAACTCAAATCACATCTGTATACAGTACATATAAACATATTTACTTATTTTAGGATTCCTTTAAAATCAAAAACTATTCAGCCTTTAGCACTTTCCTTTTTTTCTCTCTAAGAAATAATAATTCTTGTGTACTTATAACTTTTGATCCTTTTACCATTTGCGACAACTGGATAAAAATCTCAACAAAAATTAAAATGCATTAGCAAGAATGTATTCATAAGAAGAAAATTCTAAATACTTCTAATAGTTCTCAGCTATGTTTATTCAAATACAGTAATTACCAGTGTATTATTCTTTTATGAAATAATGACACAAGTCAAATTTAAGAATAATAAAAACATTCATTAAATGCATAAATAATTTATAAAGTACACATGTATTCTAATATTTTCAAAATAATGTGTCAGATTTTTAATGCTGAGGATAATAAAATTTGTATCCCAAACTTGAGACACACTTGTTCTTTGTTAAACTGAGGTTTTTAGTTTTACTCAATGAGTTTCTTGGCCTTGAAGAACTTGCGTAAGTAGAGGACTTGCCAGGTGGCTAGGCCAATTAGGCAGCAGAGAGAGAACAAAGACAAGTACAGCACACGAGAATTTGTAGACTCTGGAAAGGAACAAATGGTAATGAAAACTGTGAAATGGGAAAACAATTTGTAAACACTCCTCTTCCACTTGTGTGTAGGATGAATCAAGGGGGAGCCGAACCACAAAGAAAGGGGGGATATATTTGGAGAGTGTGGTATATGTGTAGCAATAGACAGCAAAGGGCATAAGGATAAATAGTTCACACATATGTGCTTAAATCCTCAACTTCAACATGCAGAATACAAAGTGATTATAATCCTTTATAACATTATATATTATTATCATTATTATTGCAAAAGTAAACAACCTATAAAACCAATAAGCCTCTCTGAGGTACACAGGTAGTTAAGTTACCTATTTGGTAACACATCCTTCTGCCAACTAAGACTTGGACTTACTTACCAAGGCTTAAACCCTGATGGCAGTAAATCAAGGAGTAAATAACTCCACATGACAAGCATTGAAAATACCCAACTAAATGACTAGTTCTCAGTATGAAGAACACAAGATGTTGATCAGCATTGTAAAAGGCATTGAAAACACTGTGTAGTTATGTTCATTTCTATTATCTTAGAATCCTGGCTCATTCTAATATGCATTTAAAGACAAACATTTAATAAGCAAGACCAATTTGTTTTACAAATCTTAATGTTTGCCTATCTTTCAAACCTGATCCCATATCCTTGTACACAACCTCCTGTCTATACTATACTCACTACTCTCTGAACAATTATTAGAATTATTGGTGTACTGAATAAATAGCATTCAAGTCCACAAATGTCTAGCAAATAAAATTTTGGCTGTGAATATAGGTGGTGTGATATTACAAAGAATTATAAAACTACATAATTTATCATAATTATTCAAATAACTGTCAGTTACTTTATGATTCTTACCATTGGTGTCCCTCATCTCTTCTTCACGTTGCCTCATGTATGAGAAGTCTTGTACAATGCTCTCACTAAGGTCCTCCAGACGCTTCAGCTCAATCTCCAGAGGCTTTAACTTGGCTGCTTCGCCCAACTGCACGTCAAGAAAAATACCAAATAACAAATAACACCATTTCATCTTTTAGTTTAAGTAACATTTACCAATTATTCTAACTCAGTATATTAACATGAAAAATCATTTTAACAAATTCTGAAACAAACCATTACCATTTCCTGTAAAAATTTTTGTCCTAAATTCAAATACTGTACCATTATCCCTCAACAGTATAATTATTAATTAGAACATGAAGGATATGTCTTCACTCCTAATTATTATGTGCTGAAGGTTACTTCATCTTCAAAGAACAAAATTTAATATTTGTGAAATACAACAACATTCTGTTTTAGTACTGTTAAATAAACTTTTATGTGGACACACAAAATATAAACCCACACAAATTAATATCCAAATTCATAATACAAATACTGTACGTACTGTACACCATAACAATATTGTTCAGTAAAACCACATATAATGCAACCACAGATACGCAATACATAACTGTTATAATATTTTGCAAAACATGGCAAAAAACTCCAATTAATGAAGTTAGTGAGATAGGTCACTTGTTTCTCTGTGTGGTGCAGACAGACAATCTTTCACTAACTGTCTAGGAAATGCCCATGGTGTGGAAGGAGGGAGTATTAGTCACCTAGCATTTTTCACTGCATAATGTCTGTCTGCACAGCACTCTGTGTACCACATATCTTAACTTCCGCATTGTTTGTGTCTTTTGTGTACTACGTAGTTCTTTTGCATTATAGTGGGTCCCAAGAGCCCTATATTGTACAGCCTTCTGGTGGTGCTGCAGCAGGCAAGAAGTTTCAACTTAGAAGAAACAAAAGATAGAAATCATACAACCCAACCACTGCCTTAACCCCTTCACTACCAGGCGTCACTTTTAATATTATATCTGATAAATGCCAGACGATCCTAATCAGCACAGACAGACTTTGGTTATCCCCATGGGTATGAAGAGTACCAGAGGAGTTAACCATCACTGTCTCCAATGTATTTATGAGCTGAATCTAAGTGCTTTGTTTATATTTAAGTTAAGAATCAAATACTTTTATGGTTTATTCATCAATAGTAGCAGAGTAATTTACTGCATTTCAATTAAAATATGGACGGGGAAAATAGAATCAAGGGTGTTGCTATACAGGAACTTGGCCCTCGCATTATGTGGGGTTTTACTGTATAGCAGTCCAGATACTGTACATTAAAAAACACCAAGATAAACCTTGTACTGTACACATTTCACACCCCAATCCAGTAACATTTATAAAGGACAAAAGTCCATCTCATACATTCGACTCTATACAAAATTCATATCCCGCATGATAATTCATGTCTCTAATCATTAACAAAACCCAAATCCCCTACATCATATAATAATCCTATACTCTACACTATCCATTTCTACCTCCAAAAACTAGTGTTTGAAGTGCAGAATCTATATTCCAAATAATTTTAACATCCTTTGCATTATATGCTTATTATCCTGCACTTGTTGTAATCTTGACAAACTATGTTATACCAAATATCAATATCATTCAAAACAAATTCCTGTGCACACACACAAATTAAGACATACAATACAGTACCTGCTCTTACAAACACACAAACAGGTATACTATAGACATGGACACAAAACACTCAAGACTCTACCTCTACCACTCTATACACAGTCTTACATCTATCCCATATTCAGCTGGGACTGTGAATTTCAATACAATACTTTGCTATGGTTTTTCAAATGCTTCATTTGTTACAAAGTTTTCACAGATTTCAAGTTCACTCAAGCCTCATTTTACTGGAAATCTTCAATAATTTGCATGTGTTTCCCAAATGTTTCCACATTTCTGGCTACTCATGAAAATTTCCAGTCCACCATGCTCATAATGTGGTTTGATAACTTCTTATATCACAGGAGTATGTAAGCTCAGTGCTAAAGGATTAGTCAAGTACCAAAGTATGCTGTGATTGGTTCCCTCTCACTTATATCCTACCAGTGTCTCTACTGCTGTTGTGATACAAACTTGAGTGATGCAGTGATTTTATTTTCATTTTGTTCAATATTAATTTCCATGCGTAAAATAACTAATGAACCATGCCTAATGTGCTGGCCAAGCCTTCAGACAAGAAAAGCAAGAAGAAAAGGTGACTGAGAATTAAAAGAAAAGCTTGAAATACAGGTAATAGATTAAATTAGTGGTGTATCAGTGTAAAGTTAACGCAAGTGATGCTGTTCAAAGACTGATGACTGGAACAGACCACAATAACCTCTAATGGTTAGTATAACCCTTTAATGCACTGTCACCCCCATTCCAGAGTACAGAAGATGTACAATAAAAATATATGTACAAAAGACAATAAAGTACAAGAGTTTACTTTCTTTCACTTTTAACATTACCTGTACAGTAAATGTCTTTTTCTATGTCTTGAGTACAGTATATTATTGATGGCTGTGTAATCAAAGTTTGGAGAATTCCACGAGTAACTGGAACATTACAGAAAGTGACCTTTGTTTCAAAAAGGAATGTCTATATACAACCAAAGTTCTTCCTGAACCAAACTGACTGCATATCAATTAACCCAGTCATGGAATACTTAATATATTAAGTACAACAGGCTGATTATATTGCAATATGAACATATCAGCAGTAGACCAAGATGAAACTTAACTAGATACCATAATTCAGGAAAAGACCAATTATTAAATAGATTGTTGAAACCATATTGGAGATGATAATTTGGTTGGAAAGGAACCAGTCAAAATACAGAGTAAAAACACATGAAGAAGGCCTTCCAGCAAAAACTGACAGGTTCAATTCTTATGTAGGATCATCAACGTAATTTCCGTGTTTCATACTATTTATTTCAAGTAACTTCATGCACACCATCACATAAAATTATTATTTTTTTAACCCAGTCATTTTCCAAACCAATTTTATTTTTAGCTAAATTGGTTATAAAGGTTAAGCAGCACACACACACACCACACTGTTATTCTAATAACATATGGCACACTTTACTAAATGCTGTAAGATGATAAGTGAGTGATAACACAAGATTAGTTAACCAAATGTTGGCCTACAGTGATGTGCCACATACAGATGCCTAGAAGCAGCAGGGCTGGAAGCTTAAAAACACATACAAGTCACGGATCAAATGAAACTTACAAACATCTGCTGAAGTAAATGTACATATCGATGAGCGGAAAAAGAAATAATATATTAATAAGTTTATCTTCTAGTATATAACTTTCCTAAAATAAATTTTATTTAATATTTCAATTTGAACTTTAATAAGACAACACAGTTTTGCTGATTCTGATGGACACAACAGATCTTTTTTTTTTATTCATGTTGCTGAGATTAACAAAAGATTTTATATAATAATTCTGGTATCATCTGAAAGGAGATAAACAACATAAAAGCCCATATAGGAAGTATGATGTAACTGTGCAAGGTAAAGAATATATGAAATGGGTAAAAATATCTAGAAGGATGGGAAGGAAGCCTGAATTCTGAGGAGAGGGAAGTTGGGTAGCATACAACAAGAAATTTTTACTAATGGTCAGATGAATCAGAGAGCGGTCAGGTTGCATGCCAGAGCTAGTGAGATAACTGAAAAGGAGTTGAAAGGGGAGGTAATTAAAAGCCCTGAGAGGGTATAAAAGAATGAATAGGCTACACTACCGGTCACAGCAAAATAGTCTGACAGGCTAATTTTTCGGTCCTGGCATCATAGCCTAACAGGTTGTTTTGGGCTATTTTGCTGGTTCATTGTTTACGTAATAATTTCAGGTAGATACAGTATAGTAAAACCTTGATAACTCGGCATATACGGGGCTCTAGCCTTGCCGAATTATCCCAAATTCCAACGCATCGAGGCAAACCCCCCCCCCACAAAAAATAATTAATTATCGGTCCATATACGTTTACTGTAGTACATGTAATTACTCATTTTCAAAAAGTACCACCTACCAGCACTGTAGGCAAAGAATGATGCATTGTACAGTAGTAGGCAGGAGGCATGGTAGGTGACACAGGGGAATGGTAGGTGACGCAAGGAATGGGGAAACGCTCCATAAACAGTGCGGCACTAATGTATACTACCTGTACTGTAATTTGGTCATTTATACAAAATAGAATAAATTTTAATAAATATCGTTTTCTCTACATATAATTTAAGTCTGAGTATGTAAATAAACACATAACTTATATCACTAAGGATATAATAGTCCACCCTAGGTAAACAGCATTCTTGATTACAGAGCAAAAGAGTATAAATTAAAGTACAGTATTTTCTAGATGTAATGAACTAATTTGAGCCACCCCTTACTGTTAAATCGAACTTTCTGCTATTTTTGCTTGATTTAGCAAACTAGTTCACTAAATCGAGTTTGATTCCATTAAATTGTGTGCTAAATGAGCCGATTGGTACATGGGGTTTGTTTACATCCACTCGTGTCCTGCCACCACCGCGTATGTTGTTTACTGCTATCTCTCGGTCAACTAACTACACTGTGCTTAGACATCATGCCAAAAGTCTCAAAAAGGAAGTGGTGTGGGGGAGAAAGTCACAAGAGTGCAGCTATCAATTGAAAAAAAGTTTGGAAATTATAGAAAAAATTGAAACAAACAACAAACCCCCTAGTTTAAGGTAAGCCATGAATAATGTTTCTATGTACAGTCGGTGTCAAAAGCCTTGAACGCTTGACAGTATTTGGCATGTAAGTAACCACAGATCTTAGGTATTAAAGAGTTTTATCCCATTTTGTGGTTCACGCAAAATATGTGATGACAAGTAGTGTTACAAGTACAGTATAGTCTGCATTTACGCGGTCAATTGAACCCGTGGAGGTCCGCGTAAAACGAGAAACGCGTAAGTGAAATAACAGAACATATGGGATTAATTGAAATAGAGACTGGGCCGAACCCCAAACTCCACTTTTTCCGACAAAATACGTACGTTGTAGTAAAAATAACATCTTAACTTTATGATGGTATGCACACACAATTAATATTTAAGAGAAATATCAATAATATTAGGTTTTTTAACACTTACATTAGTAGAAAAGATGGGTCGGCAAACGTGGATGGCGGCTGGTTCCGAGGCAGAGGGCAGATTAGTTGCCCTTCGGTTAATCACTTTCACTACTGGCAGAGGTTTGCAGGGCCTCCCAGACAAACCCCTCAAAGTCCATATCCTCACTGTCACTATCACTGACTTGGGCTGGCTGTGGTTGTGGTGGGTTGTGGGCGAAGAAGTCCTTAATACTACGTTGACGACTAGCATTGATGTTGTCGAGATAGATCTGGATATACGGCTCCAAAACTTTCGTCAGAAGGTTATTAGACACTTCATACCGATGCTTGTCTGGGTCGTTGTCAAGGATGAGCTTAATTTTCTCCCCCAACTCGATGATTTCCTTCACACAATCATGGTTTGGTCCAGGTAATTCAAGGTTTTTCTCGGGTGGTGGGGGTCCAGCGGAAGCCATTGTGAGGGGAATATAGCGGGCACAAGAGAGAACTGTATACGCGGACTGAGAACAATGAGACTGGCCCGGCTAGGCCAGCGACTTCTACCCTCTGGTGGCAGGGCACGTCATGTTACATTAGACCAATCACAGCTAGCAGCGGAGGGAATGCATGGCCCAATCACAGTCCGATACGTCATATGACGTCAGCGATAACGTAAGAGTGGCCTAATGCGCACCCCTCACCGCTTCCCGCGTATGGTGAAGAATGGACCGCGTGAGTAAAAAATGGCACGGCGCGTCTGGACCTCGCCGCGTAAATGACCAAATTTACCGAGTAATTAAAACATTTCATTCTGGCAAGGCACCACATAAATGACCAAACGCGTAAACAAAAACCGCATAAATCCAGACTATACTGTATATCCCAACCATATAAGTATAACTCAGAAGTAGATGCCACATATTGCTAAGTGTTCAAGACCTTTGACCCAACTGTACATAAGTGTATGAGGTGTCTTAATAACGAAAAAAAATCCTTTCGCTAAATTGAGAGTTCATTACTGGTATATCGGATTCCGTAAATTTGAGAGTATACTGTACTCTAGTGTAGCTTAGAAATAAAGAAAATATAATATAAAACTATAAAATAAGAAAAATGAAGAGCCTAGGTGTGTGTGTGGAAGGTGAACGTATGTGAAGTGAGCTGTACTGCACAGCTGACTCACCTGGTTCCCTCCCTCCCATGTAATGTCACGGCACAAACACGTCTAAGTCAGCTGGTTGGCTGAACTGTGGCATCACTTAGATGATGGTTCGAGTTTGGAAGGAGCTATATTTTGCACATAAAATAAATGCTATTGTATTTTATGATATACTCTGTATCAATTTTATTGTTTATCTCAGCAAATTTTTTTAAAAAAGCGGTTATAGCGCTCCAGGTGTCAGACACGTGAATAAGCAACTTCAGTGTCTTTTGGATTGTTGGACTAAATTAAAATTTTTACCAAAGGAGACAAAGTTGGGATACCTGGAATATTCAGATAGTAGGAATTCAGATTAAATGAAATGCTTCTGTACATTAAATAATATCTACGACACTGGATTTACTGTAATAGTGGAGATGTTCTGCATACAGTGGCTGGCCTGACATGAATGAGGAAGGTTCTTGCATGTTACTGGGTTAGTCTGGCAGGAACCAATTTTACCAGGAAGTGCTGAATACTGTATTAATTCTGGTGCCCTAGACAATCTGTGATGCAATGTATAGTATGTTATACCCTAAATATTTGGGTGCTACAGCACCCTCCCTTCCTACGTTCATGTACTGAGTGGAGTGAGCCAGCACACACCCGACCACAACAATAACAAACACCGGACTGACCAGGCGTGGAGCACAGCAAGGCGAGTGTGACCCACGTGGTCAAATGTGCTGAGATTTTCCCAGATAATTATATATAACTTGGCATTTTCTGAGTTATTTTAAGATACATTCCGAGAACCTATACGTGCCGAATTATATGAAATTCTGAGATATCGAATGCCGAGTTATAAGAATTTACCGAATATTTAATTTCTTAATTTTTTATACTGTTATATGAACACACAATCGTTCATACAGAATTTGTAAAAACAAATTTAAAATAATTATCGTAAGGTCAACAAAATAGAAATAAACATTTCTTATGTGCGCAGGAGTTAACACTCACAGCTGGGGATAGGAGAGGGATAGGGGGGATCTCTTAGCTGTTCTGTCTTGTGTCCCAGGTAAGTGAAAATTGCCAATTAACAATGCAGTAGTTTTTCTCATTTTATTTATTATTATTTTTACTAAGTGAGTATCTGCACACTTTAGTGAAAATTACACACGCGGTATTTGCACACTTTACACAAAATCCCTTCCCTGTTTAATCCATGTACTAATTAAATTAATGAAAGTAATAAAATTTAGGAATAATTGATCTTGAACTGCAAAAATCCACATCCTGTCCAGCTGAGGATTTTTGGCGAAGAGGATAAAATAAAGATAAGTGCACGGATCTCAGTACTCACCTGAAGATTCATCCCACTGTATACCCAGGGGTATTCTTGAGTGGACAATGGGCCATGTATTACCTGGTGGCCATTGTACATTTTTAACTAAAGTGTGCAAATACCAAGAATGTTATTTGGGCTATAGTTGTATATATCCTCACAAGTCATGTTTTTATTTGTAAACTACAATAAATACTATTATACCATTATATTTATTACATAAACAATGGACTCACAAAATAGCCCAAAACAGCCTGTCAGGCAGTTATCCCATAAAAAAATTAATATTTTGATTTTCAGTCAATTCAATAAAACAGAAATATGTATACAATATACTGTACTGTACACACTTTAATAACATAATTTGATACAGTATACAGTGCTGCAGCATGTGAAGTGAAAAGTCTGAATGTTGACCTGCACCTAGGTGGTCAGATGGCTAATACCTACACTAAATTTGTCACCGCAAGTCAGATGGTAGGGGCAGATCCAGAGGTGGATCCTAGGGGTCTGAATCCCCCTTTCCTCAGAAAATTTGAATATTTTTTCTTTTATACAGTACTGTATTGTACTTGGGCATTTTTGTAAAGTAAAAAGTAACTACTATTGACATCAGAATATTTCCCAATACAGGTATACCACTGATTTTCCGGCACCCTTGGTTCCAAAGCATTGCCGGATTATTCATTTTGCCGGACCAACCGAGATCAGGAAATAATAATTCAATAAAACACCTCTGACCCACTAATTATACCTCCTGTGTCTCTAAAGCACCATGGACTGCTAGAAACTTAAATTAAACATATATTAAATGTAAATTAAATGTGAAAAAGCAATAATTTTTAGCAACATAACTGTATTGTACACACTTTGTACTCAAATGTACTACACTAGACTAAAAATTTTATCTCTTGTGCAAACTATGCAAAGTTTATACTCAAATTAATCACTATATTACAAGAATTCCAGCAATGCAATTTTTATTCTGCTAAGTCGAGTCAGCTACATTTTATACGATAAAACTTTAAGCCTAAAACTACCTTTATCCTGGCTGGGAGAGAGGGAGGGAAGTTAAGTGCCCCCTCATAATTTTGTCCGGACTAAAGGAGGTGCCGGACCATCAGTTCCCGGATAATTGGTGGTGTACCTGTATAAGCCCCCCAAAAAATCTCAGCTGTGCCCCTTTTGATATTCCTGGATGAAATCTTTTTCAAGACAAATATGGCCCATGGGCAGTAGGTTGCCAACCAATGGTACATATTCCACAGAAAAAGTTTCAGAAGAAGTATTGAGCAAAGCCGGGAAGCACCTTTAAATAAGATAGCCCTCCATGGGAATTTCCAGAGATTAATGTAACACAGAAATAAACCATGGGCAAAATTTTAAATAATTCTAATTACGCTTGAAAAATATATAAAAGAAAAGTTCACACTGTTCTCAACAGTTGAACTCAAATCTACATCAATACTGTACAGTACAGTACTATATAAAAATACGTATCTCGCACTAAACTTCATTTGAGCCCAAATCTATCAACAGAATTAAGTTAAAATACTACTGTACAGCACAGTAACCATTTTACAATGTGACGTCAACACACATGACTTACTGCCTCATATGTCTTGGCTTCCACCCCATGTTTGGTTTTGATGGTGATCTCCTGCTGGATGCCTCGCTGAGCTGTAAAAACAAAAAAGGGCTTTGATACATGTTTCAACCACCGTGGTGAACACATAAAACTGTAAGTAAGAGGTGTAAAATTACCATAATATCTTAAAGAGGTTCCTAAAAGAAATATCCCTCCACCATCTTTACTCCTTTTCCACTTTTGTATTGGGTAGTTCAAGGAAAACAAACTTCAAGAAAGAAGGGAAAATGTATAGGTGAGCAGGAAATGACAAGTGTAGAAAAGACAAGTAAAGTATGAAACTTTAATTCTAGACCCTAGTTACCTCAGAACACACCTCTTCAAATCAGGCAACATGCACTCATACCTCAATAACACTTCAATACACTCAAAATCTGCTTACCCTTGTATCATCTCTCTCCAGTAATAAAAATAAAATGCCATCATTTGAACTCTATAACAGTAAATATTGATATTTACCTAAGATTTAACTCAATACAGTACTGTACTATACTTCATTTGTTTCAAAACATTATGCATATATTATAAAAAATGCTAAGCTAATACAGGTAACACAAATCTTCAGCTCTGGTGCCTACAGGTGTGCGTGATCCATGAATATGCTGATAACTACATAGGAAAACACGAGGTTCCCAAGCGCTTTCGTGTAATTCACATCTTCATGGGTGAGTGCAGACTAAGGAGTAGTTACTGACGAGGCTAATATACTGTATACAGTAAAGGAGATTGAGATCAAGTCCCTAGGGACAGTAGGTGTCCACCATATTCAAGTCATTAAGTAGTGACCTAACCCTTTCACCTGGTTTCCACTACCACATCAGGGTCCAAGTTTAATATTTTCATATTATGATTTGGGATTAAAAGTTTATAACATCGTCTTTTGGGACAAATTTTTGGGGGCTGGAATACATCTTGGCCTTTAACCCGTACGCCCCGGGTGACGTACTAAGACGCCCGACTAGCGCGCCCCAGGTGACGGAATAAGACGCGCGCCATTTCCAGCCAGTGATTAAATGCCCAGCGCGGGTTATCAAGTTCCAGTGTGACTATTTGCCTGTCACGCCACACGCTCGGCCACAGGGAAGCTTCCTGAACGTCATTACCTACTTTTGTTTGTTTCATTTCCATTGTTTGTCCATTTTATCATGTTGTATCAAAGTACCTGTACAGTAAGCCCGCTCAACGTTGTTTCCATACTACGTCGCTAATCTTTAGATACAAAAAATTTGTTTAACATCCCGATGACTCGGTACAACGTGGTTTTGCGTCGTTATGGACTATTTGCTACGGCACATCACCCTCTCTTGTCTGGCTGCGCTACGCTCTCTCGGCAGCCGCAGTCTCTCAGTGACTCACCACACTTCTCCTCCACTCCCACCATACTCCTCCGCTCCCACCATCCGCCTCACTACCCACCACACACTCACTCTACCACCTCCGCCCATCAGTGAGTACCAATACAAACTTAGTAGTTGTATATGTATGCACAATTTTCTATAGAAATGGCAATGATTTTCTGTATACGTAATGTATTTCATGGGGCAAAGGGAGGCTCAGGAACGTAACTCCCGTATTTTATCTATTTCTTATGGGAAAAATTGATCCGCTTTATGTTGTTTCGTATAACGTCGCATTTTAGGAACGTAATCCCGACGATAAGCGAGGACTTATTGTAATATTGCTAAAAGTATTGTAGTGTAGTATTACTGGAAAATAATGCTATGACTGTTATAAATGTATTTATTTGTGGAATTATTATCATTTTATGCATTACTTGCTCTACCAAACACAAAGACAGCCGGACAGCTTGGCGGCCGACTGAGTGGGTCGCCAAGCACTTTTTATGAAAAATAATGCAAATAAAATATTCTAAATGAATTATTTATAGCAAATAAGTATTATGATCAGTAAATATACGCATTAATGGACATCTCGGACACAAAGGCAAGCTAAAAATAGCTGGTAAGTGCATAGGTGACCACGAGCTCAGCTGTCAAAACAACATTGTCCCCTTATATCCCTCCCTCAGCACTGCCAGGGAAGTTTCTAGAGCATCAATATATAGTTTATTTCTTACTGTGTTATTGTTTAAAAAGGTTAAACATTATTTTTAGAAACATTTTGATTTTTCTCGATTTACCCCGGCATGGGGGGTACTGCCAGCAGCTCCCTAACCCGGGGCTTAAGGGTTAAAATGGGATCCTATGGGAAAATGAGTCCTGGTTATATACCTGTACCAAGAATTAACCGAATGAACACTTTTCAAAGTTAAGCAGGACTTTACTGTACACAAGAATGCAGACAAGATCACACTCCTGTACTGTACTCATAAACAAAATAGTCAATGAATTTAATGTTAAGCCTAAGGAATCAAAGGAGTACAGCTTGGTATTTTGTCTATATTCCTTGTTTAATTGATTTGTTATTACTGTATATGAAAAATATAGAGTTTAACTTACTTGGGGGGACCCTAGAAATGAAACATACTTCATACACATCATTGTCCTCGGTGTTGAAAATGAACTTGCCATTCTCTGCTTCTTCTTTTACATAGAGGTGATGACCCTTGGAGTCTGTAACCTGTAACATATCACATGTAAGATTTACTTGTGGAGTGAAGCTTTATCATTATCATATAAAACATATTCATACCAACTGCTGCCAGTTTTAATAATGGATGAGCTACTCTGGAGCAGCATCGCAGGTAAACCAACAACTTTAGGAATTTTTCCTTTATTACCTCATGGAAATTAAATAAAATGTGAGGGTTTCCAATTTTCATAATGAAGAGCCCCCAGACCCCTGGTGGCCCCCTGGCTAGGGCCATATGCTAGGTAATAACCTAGAGTCGCGTGGTAAGCCTCCACAATAATATAAATAGCCATTAGAGTATTTCCTACCTTACTCTGAGTCAAAGTCTAAGTCAGGGACAGGTGATCTGATTTTATTCTTTTTAAAATTCAAAAACTTCATTATTCTAAATCTGCGACGGAAATGTATATAAGAAATTGATAATAGAAAAAATCGTTCTATCGAATGAGTGAAGCGAATTTCCGGAATTCTTGGTTGCTGTAATCTGCACGAAGGACGAGTTGACGGTTCTGGGCAAACACAAGAAATACACTCTGCCACATTTGTAGAGTGATACGGTATATATAATTTATAATAAAAGTTTAAAGTCCTGCAATGACGTCACTAGTTTCAAACTCATCGCTGCAGTCGGAGGTAGTAGAAAGGAAGGCCTCTTCAGACCCCAAATGCCACGTTCAGATAAGTTTTAGGGTGGGTTTTTTTTATGGTCTAAGTCAATGGACATTTTGTAAGTGAAGAAATGTGCTGTGGAGCGCAGCTTCAAACATAGGTTGGATGGATATACAGTATAAGCGATAGGGGTTGGGCGTAAATGGGACTGCCCAGTATGGACCAATAGGCTCACTGCAGTTTCCTCCATTCTTATGTTCTTTTGGACATAAAAAACTGCCATGTTCACACCAGCTCAGCTGTCATGTCACTTACCTGGTAGACTTCTCTTTTTTTTTCAGTGCCTTTACAGAGTATATCAGTACTAGAGGGAGATACAAGTCAATTTAGAAGTGATGACATTGTCTGGCCTTTGTTTTGATAAAGCTTGGTGCTAGTTAACATGACAACATAGTGCTGTTATTGTTTTGATGATTCGCTTATGAACCACTGGGATATAACATCATTTATATTAATTAATGGGTAAATTTTTTACTATAACTACCATAAGTATTTTGAAGTTTAGATTCGAGATAGGCTATGTTGGGTAAATTTTAAGTTTTGGTCATACCTGTATTTAGACTTGCAGACTTATGGTTTTTTCTGATGGTTTGCGATGTATTATGAACGATTTAGACCTTCATTTCTATCGGAAATCACCAGTTTTGAGTTACTACCCCCCCCCCTTACCAATGTATGTTAAGCTAGCCTTATAACTCATCATACCCTGACCTAATCTTATATATGATCTGCATTTTCTTATGCAATCGAATAATGTTTTGTGACAGAAATCCTGTATGGATAATGTGTCTTATTGTTTAAAGTACTTAATCCCATAGTTAGAATCTTAAGGTTCTCCAGATGACCAGAACCAAAATAATACCATTATTGTTTGGAATGTTTACCGGTATACGTACTATGAAATTTGTTGTATGGGCAGCTAATATCCATTGAATTAGTTTATGTGGTTAGTAATATTTATATATTCAAAATAGTATTACTGTGTTGCACAGTAAAGCACAATTAATTATCTAATAATATTTATTTACAGAGCCGATCAGCCAAGACGGTTGGACAACTACAGCGTTATCACAGCCAATCACAGATATTTTTGCAGTCACGTGACTTTTTAGCAACTTTAACCCATATTTTTGACACTTTTTGGCCCAATTTATTTTAAAATATCATTATCATAGTGAATTTAAGCGTTTTCTTTACCCATTGACCTGCCATCTTATGAAAAAATTTTGACCGTCACCTCGTCCATTACCGTATAAACATCTCAAAGGGCACTACTCAGTCGAGTGTCCATATTTGGAGCTGCCTGATGCCCACCCCACTAGGGGTCATAGATTAAGGTTGAAGAAGCCACAAGTTCAAAAAATTTTCAGGGCATATTTGTTTGGAGTGAGCATCACAACTCTTGGAACAATCTGCCAGAGTGCATTGTGATGGCACTGAATGTAAGCTCATTCAAGACCATACTAACCAACACTGGAGTAGGTACAGATACATCCAGGAACCAGCACATGCCAACAGTGCAAAATAGATGCAACTGATCATCCAATTAGCTATTGAGTCGATCAGTGGCAAAAAAGGATACCCAGTGGATATTTTGCCATGACCGACTAAGTTCCTACTAACACTATTTTACCGTGAGTGTGCTCTGATTGGCTAATTAAATCAAAATGACAATGCACAAAACCTATTAGAACCATACCCCACCTCACCTACCTAACCTCACTTAACTTCCTAACCTTTGCATTGTCGTTTCTATTTTCCTACTGTTATCCAAAAAACACTGAGAAAAAATTAATGCTTGGATATTTTTGCCGTTTTGTTCAACGGTAATGGACGATTAGCCAATCAGAGCACACTAACAGTGAAATAGCATTAGCAGGAACTTAGCCATCATGGCAAAATATCCACTGTGAAAAGGATCAAGTATATAAAGTATTATCTCAAAATTACAGGAAAAGATGGAAAGTTTTCAATTACCGTACACAACTTTCTGAAGCCAATAAGAGATTTCTACTTTTTCTTACTAAAATATTGGTAATTATTGATGACATACCCGTCACTGAATTTTCCCAGAAAAAATAAAATTAAAATGCCACAATTTCGCTGTGCATTGCAGTGGACACTGCCATAGTTTGGGCACGTGTTAAAATGGGGCTATTTCTAAATTAAACCTCACCTAACGTTAGACGATAAGAAACAAGCGGCTGAAGTGTTGTTTGTAAACGGCACCAACCTAACCTTACCGAAGTTTCTAGCCAGGGGACTCCAACCCCCAGCATATCAAACAGAAAGAACTTACTTTGTTATGGTGAAATTTTACGTTTTTTGTGGACATTAGAGTACTGTACGCTCAAACCGACTGAAGCACACAAACAAACAGCAGATAACTACATCACACGTGGATCAGGCCACCATACCATTTCAAAGCCAAGAAAGTGAAGTGGTGTAAGACAAACAAATCATTTGCACAAGAAATGAAAATTATATTCAAACTCAGTGATGTAAATTATGCCAGCAGTATGAAAAGATCCATCAAAATAAATTCCATGGTAACGGGTATGTCGTCAATATTAGCCAAAATATTAATTCAATGTGATATAGTAAATTAATTTCAATATTGACTGAACAAAGGTAATTATTAACGTTTACTGCAATATTACCTAAGTTAGGTTAGATTAGTTTGCATATCTAAATACCATGGATGACCAAAACTACAATTTTACCTTAGAAAAAATCTGGAATATTAATTTACAATCATAAATTCGTTTTGAAAATTGCACTTGATGAAACAGATGTGTAACGTAATGTTCACTTGAGCGGTTACCTGTATATCGACTTTCTGTCCAGGTGACTCCTGAATTTCGTATTCTCCAGACACGAGGACATCTTTATGAATCTCTTCCCTGAGACATTTCTGAGTGTTAGGCTGTAGGTGGAACATCACTCCATCCGCCGCCGCCACCAACACCCCTAATATCGTCATTACCCATGTTAACCGTTCCATTCTCCTCTTCTAGAACACCAGTACCCCTTCAAGTCAATAGCATCAAGCCTTACAACACTTATTCGAACGGCAGGTATTGACAGAACAACTGTAATTTGTTAATAACTGAGTTTATCTGGTGAAAGCCGCCGATGACGTTCACTTACAGACGAGTTCCACGTAAGTCCCCCCAGCTGCCACCATCAACCTACTACCAACTTTATTTATAATTTTAATGATTATCTTTAATTATAATTCATAAAAATATAAGTATAAACAAATTATATATTTTATATGGATATATTATTAAGAAAAGATTTGAATATTGAAATAAAAGTTTAGTTTTTTAGTTACTGTGTGTATGTTTCTCCAGGTGTTAACAGGAGCGAGGCGTGAGGCGTGGTCCTGTGTCCACGTCTTATAATAGGTCAAGATAACTGTTCCACACTTATTATCACGCCTATATTAACAAAAGTATTGATTAAGGGCAAACACACCTTTAAGATTTTGATAAGTTTATTAGCACACTATCAATGAGTGCTTAACCTTATAGTTGGATCCTGGTGGGGGACAGATGAAACCGTTTTCCGACAAAAATCATGGATATGTGAATACAAAAACACTAGAAAACATAAAGCTAACCTTCTTTTGATGACCTAACCTAACTCTCACGGTGTTTTTACGTAACCAGACTCACCATATGAGGGAATCACTTGTTATTTCGGTTAGGGTGTAGATAATGACTACCACCAGAAGTTGTTTGTTGATTTTCTTTATATTTTGCTGTACTTAGTGTTTTGATGATTTTAAGTGTATTAAAAGAAATGACAACTTTCTATTATGATTTTAAGTATTATTATTTTTTATTTACTCTATCCCGCTTCACAATTCTCCTCCCCGCACCATTTTGGTTGTTTACCTCGCTGAATCCCTCTTCAAGAGATGTTTCCTATAAATGATGGTGAACGCTCCCACGTATTCCTCCTCGCTATTGCTGATTTATATCAACCTCAATATTACGGTAAGCTGTTTAACATAAATTAACACGATACAGTAATGCACAGAACCTAATAGAACCTGACCTAACAAACCCATAGGTTGGGTATGTTAGGTCAGGTTCTATGTATTGTCGTTTCCATTTTTGTGTTTGATGTCATGATATTAGTGTGCAGAAAAAATTTCAACCAATTCGGACAATTCCTTCTGGTGGTCATCCTCTTCTACACCTTTACCATTATTTCTTACCTTATTTCGAATCTGATTGGGCAAAAAAATACCACGAATTCTTTAAGTAGAAACCACAATTCATTTTAATTGGTGGCAAAAAAACTCCGCTTTTTATTGGCCATGTGGCATGTACGGGAACGCATGCGCTTGGCAATTTATGAAGAGAAGATTACAGTGGTCCCTCGGTTAACGAGCACAATCCGTTCCAGCAGGTTGCTCGTTAACCGAAACCATTGTTTCAATGGGTTTTTGGGTAATTGGTTCCAGCTCACCGAAAATTGCCTAAATTCAACAAAAATGGTAGAAAAGTTCACTTACTTTGAGGTGTGTATGTAGAAGGCTCCTGAATAATGATGATGTGAATTTGAAGTGGGAGGTGGAGGAGGAGAAGGGAGAAGAGAAGGAAGTGGAGGTGGAGGAGGAGAAGGGAGAAGAGAAGGAAGTGGAGGTGGAGGAGAAGCATTTTACTGCTTCTTGGAAGGTGAGTCACCTTCCATGAAAATGTCAGGAACCTCTGGACTGACAGATTCTCCACCATGAACATCCTCTCTCCTTCTTGAAGTGGAAGGCTGAGGGATAGCATCTTGTTCCCTCTGCCTTTTACTGAAGAAAGTGTCAATTGTGGTCTGTGGGGCATCTGTCCTCCTCACCATTAACTTATGTTTAAAGAAGGAAACCACTGAGTCCTCAACATGACACAAAGTTAGTTCAGTTTTTTCCACTTCTGGGTGCTTTGAAGCCAGTTCCCTGAACTTCTCCCAGTAGTAAATCACATCTTTCAACTGTTTAGCTGACATATGGTCATCACTTTCAATTTCCTCCTCACCACTGTCAGCCTCTACCTGTAACATCTCATCCAGTTGCTTCAAGTCATCAGGAGTAAGTTCCTCCTCATGAGACATCACAAGCTCTTCCACATCCTCCTCCTCCACTTCAAGGCCCAATGACTGACCAATGGACACAATCTCCTGGTCCAACTCTGTTTCTTCCTCAAATCCCTCAAAATCATGGACTACTGATGGCCACAGTGCTTTCCATGAAGAATTGAGGGATTTAGTGGAGACTTCTTGCCATGATGACACAATCAATTTTACAGCCTCCAGGATGTTGAATTGTGTCTTCCAGAAATGTTTCAGTGTTAGTTCAGGATCATTGGAAGTTGCCTGACGACACCTCCTAAACATTTTCTTCATGTACAACTTCTTGAAGTTGCTGATCACATTCTGGTCCATTGACTGTATGATTGATGTAGTGTTTGGAGGCAAAAACAACACTTTCACAAAGTCAAATTAATACTCCAAATTTCTGGCAAGGTCAGGGTCATGACCAGGAGCATTATCCATGAGGAGAAGAGCCTTTAAAGGGAGTTTATTGGTGGTTAGGTAGCTCTTGACAGAAGGGCAAAACACATCAACAGCCCATTCATTAAAGAGCTGTCTTGTCAGCCATGCCTTACGGTTGGACTTCCAATAAACTCCAAGCTTTGTTCTTACCACTTTCTGTTGCTTGAACACCCTGGGGTTTTCAGAGTGGTAGACAAGCATAGGCTTCAGTCGGAAATCCCCTGAAGCATTGGCACCAAGCAATAGAGTGAGACGGTCTTTCATGGGTTTATGCCCAGGTAAAGAGGCTTCATCTTTGGTGATGAATGTTCTTTTGGGCATCTTTTTCCAGAACAGGCCAGTTTCGTCCACATTGAACACTTGCTGTGGAAGATAATTTTCTTCTTCCATCAGTTTTTTAAACTCATCTAAAAACTTTGCTGCCCCTTCCTTATCAGCACTAGCAGCTTCACCATGCCTAACAACACTGAAAATGTCACTTTTCTTAAATTTTTCGAACCAGCCTTTGCTGGTTCGAAAATCTTCAAATTCTGTGCCTGAAGAACCAGGTTGATCTGTCTTTAAATGTTCGTAAATCTCCCTGGCTCTTTCACAAATGAATTCAGTAGAAACTGAATCACCTTTCATCTGTTTTTCCCTAATCCAGATGATAAGTAACCTCTCAGTTTCTGCAATTAGGGATCTACTTTTAAACACACTTGTAGATTTGTCTCTCACTTTCACTTCTTTAAATTTGTCTTTCTGTGCAAGAATTGTCGACACAGTTAATGTCGACATGCCATATTCTTTGCATAGCGCATTTGTTCTAATGCCTTGTTCATGTTTTTTTTATGATTTCCTGCTTGGTTTGGATTGAAATTGCTTTTCTTGATCTCTTAGGCCCCATGCTGGATTCAAACAATATCAACACGTGCTTTTCAAAGTTAAACTTGTTGTAAATAAAGAATATTTTCTTTAAAATAACACTGCACTGCACTATATATATTGTCAATATGTAAAATAAATTTCAAAATGACCAATAATTTGCTTGGAAACACAGAAAAAAAGCGTTTAGTTGAAGAGAGTCTCAAGCAAGATGTTACCTCCAGTAAAAACATAGAGACTAACGCCTGTTTGCTGTGTTAAGAGGCTGGATGCCGCTTATTAAACTAGTCACTTTACCTTCAATTATGTTCAATAATTGTTAAAATGACCCAAAAAAATTATTTTTAAACTTTTAAAATTATTGAATAGTATAAACTTCTTGATATATACTACAATAGTAAGGAATTTAAGCCCTAGAACCGATTAATGTATTGGCGGACTAATACTACAGCTGGTTGACCACCCAGTGCAAGCCAAAACTTGTTGAGGTCGGCTCGTAAGAAACTCGTTAACTGAGGGGTTGCTCGTTAACCGAATTTTAGAATCTTATGGGAGGTAACTCGTTAACCGAGGCGCTCGTTAACCTAGGGACCACTGTAATGGAATTAAATAGAGAAAGATTGGTGTGCGCAATCTCCGTTATTATACATTTCCGACGGTAATGTAATAGAAGAAAATTATCTTAAAATTAGACGTCTTTTTCGATTTTGATAATAGTTTTGGGGTAGGAATGTTGTGTGAACTACTATGAAAATACCTTTATATCGTTTTGGTCATCCAGCGAATTTTAGGATTAAGAGTTTAGGTTAGGTTAAAATTTTGTTTTTCTGATGTTTTGTTTTGAACAGCTTCCAAATATGTGGATGACCAAAACCATAATTTTACAAGAGCATCCACTCATAGTGAACAGTATTTATTATTACTAGAAGAAAGTAATGCACGTTAACCATGAACTTGAGGAAATTTTTCTATGAAAGACGAACGAATGCATTCTCGACCTATGAAGGCTCCTCAAAAATGGGAAGGAATAAGTTTTTCATCTTATTATTTTTTATGATTTTTATGTGTCCCACATATGCTGCAGAGCCACAGGCTACGACACAACAGCCTTCACTCTACATCTGGGACTTTCATCTATAGGTTGGAACACTTACACAGGGGAATGACTTACCAGCTACTTTATATAATTTATTGGACATAAAATGTACAAACCTAATCTAGACAAGGTTGGTTCATTTTTTCACTGAAACGAAAGTCTTTAATATGAACAATGGATACCGTATGCATCTCACATGTGGGTGTAGAAGTGTTTCAGACAAAAAAATGTAAACTAATGTTTCTAAAAACTTATTCCTTGAGGTAAGAAAGCATTTATCTTTATAGACAAATTTCTTCAAGTCGCTTATTAACCCCCAGACACTAGACTACGGTAGGCATAACCCCCCCCCCCCCTTGGGTAGATTCAGGAAAATTAAAAATATTTATAAATTAAACAAATAATTCTGATCTTACAAACTGGTCATGCATAACATAAACAGTAAAAAAAATACAAGAAATACATGTTCTTACCATAGGTTGGCATCACAGGGTAGGAAGTGTGTGACGCAGTACAAGTTAAACAACACTGATTTGTAGACAGTATGAGGTACAGGACACTTTTTTATTATGTTATAACTATTTACAATTACTGCCTCCAGTAATTTATTACAAATCTGCTGATGGTTGGGGGTAGAAACACATTTGAAGTGCATGAAGTCCAAGAGCGAGATCC